GAGATCTCAGCGTTCATACAGACGGACAAACATGGGTAGAAGGACTCGACTAGTGATCCTGATCGAGAATATACATATTTCATAGGGTCGGAAACGCTTCCTTTTAGCTGTTACACACTTTTCGACGAATCTAGTATACCCATTTACTTTACGAGTAACGGTTATATAATGTTACGTATGCCCTCCCCATACAAAGATTAACAACTGTCTTAAGTTGAGGGTAGGGGCCCTAATGACTAACCACACTCCAATTGATACTGGCAAAACAGCAAAAACAATTCGACAACTCATGGGTGTCGCGTGGCCAGAACAACGACCACGATCGACCTGCTCGTAACCGTATTCCAGTAAGGTAACAAAGTGCACCAGCTGGCCGTTGACTCCTAAAATAGGGTTAATAGAGAAACAGTACCCCTAAGTGGGAACACCCACTTAACTCATCCAATATGGGGGAGCTAGCGAAAGCTCTAGTCCGGTATAAAAGACCCCAGCCAAATAGAGAAGTCAGACAGAAATTGTTCTGATCTCACCCTGACAGTGGTCTAGAAGTACAACTACCATCAACACAGACCACTACTGGAAGAAGGCTGGTGTCCAGAAGGATGTCTTGACCGTTTCCCTAGGATCAACTTCACTCAGGAGAAAGTCCTGATTACTGGTCCTGCGATCGACCACATTCTAGAGGAAGTCAACCTGCAAGAAAATCCTGAGGGACGAAAAGAACTAGTGAACCCGGTGTATGGCCCATGGACCCCAAGATGGGCGGCGAAACTTCCAAAGTGGCCGACAGCACCGCCAATGTGATTAACCACGTAGAGATCGTTGACCACAGGTCAAGACCCTGAAGCTCATAGCTTGACTACTACAGGTTATAGTTATCCTTAAGGTGGTTAAGATGTACAAGCGCTCTGTTCAGAGACGCCGCGACCAACATCACGCCCTCGAGAAAGTGGTGACCCACATCGGAGCATAAGCCGAGCAGTTGCAGTGAAGTGAAACAACAAAAAGACAAAAGGCAAATAAACTGCATTCAAAGTTAACAAAAAGTAAATCGCCAAAAAAACAATTACAAACAACTTGCGAGTACATGCATTTCTGAATGCAAGTGTAATATCAAATCAAATACACACGTGAACAAGAAATTGGAGCTGCACCGACCAGCCCCAGCTCGAGCATTGGAACTGACGTGTGCCGCAGTGGAACTCTCATTCGATGCATACATACATACATATCTATACAGCGATAGTGTTATTTTTCTTGTGTAACGTAATTTTTGTATTTTGTTTTTGTAAGCCGCCATCAAGTCTTGCACGTATATATATATATAAACCAATTATAAAATCTCCCAAAGCCCAGGATCCGGAGCGTCGAGATCTCATCGCCCAGGATTAAAAGGAGGGTAAGTTCGTCGGAACACGGTTCCTTTCTTATAAATGCATATATATATATCCGTGCACCATGATTACCTCAGAAGCTTTAGCAAAAACTATAGACACTGATCCACAATTTAACGTAAGAATTCTATACTTGTTATCAAAAGCAACCCTACCAATAACAGTGAATGAATTGGAGTACTTATATATTGAGACCATCCGTCTAGATTTTTCACCACTTGCCCACTGTAATAAGACCGAAAAGGCTATCATTGACCTCTCCCGTCTAGATATGAATTTATTTTTGGGCTATGTTAGCACTTTCCTAGTTAAGACAAAGAATTAATCTGTTAGGAATTCATGTAATAATAGATAATATCCATATATAATAATTGTTTCATATATATAATCATTAAGATATACTTCTTCCTTTTTATTCCTTTTTTTTACATTTTTTATACATAATAATCAAGTGTTAATTTAAATATTCGAAAATAGTCAGCATTTTGCTGATGTGTGCACCTTCACAGGTGGTAAAGTCGATACTCTCCGCTAATACAATAATTGTCAATTAATTTAATCCCTATATGAATTAGCCAATATTATGTTACTGAACCCCGGCACACGCCGACATAAATATTATTTAATAAATTTATAACGTGAAAAAGAATTCGAAACCATAATGTGCTAGAGCTTCATTAAGGGGGTGTGCTGACGCGAGAAGTGGAGTAGGTCAAGAACAATGACATAACTTTTGACGGACAGCCTTGACAATAGGAGATCGTATTGCGCGGCCCGAGACGATCCATTGGCACACGAATGTGTGAAGGGGAGAGAATATGGCCAAAACACAGCCCGATCGTATGGCGATCAAGCGACAGCTAAGCTTGTTGGGCAGTGTGGACTGATGACTGACGAACTTTATCACTATATTATTTTCCAGGCACTTTTAATATTTATTCTCGTTATGTTGGAGAGGAGAGAGGCTTACCAAGATCCCACGACCCGAATACGAAGTAGCTTATGCCGGCAAATGGTGCCTGAATATCGGACGCTTCTCCCTCGGCCCAAGTCCTTGTCAGGACTCGGGCACTAATATGCCCACGTAACAATAACGGAAAATCAGAAATTAAGCCTCCGTAACCAAGTCCCCCATTTCGCCTTATTCCGCTTGCCATTGTGACGACTTAGCCTCCACCTCTTGCTGTCTTACTCTCTGTCAAATGGAAAACGCCAGGCCGTTAAGTGTGACCGCAAACAAATAAAATACCACATGTACTTTTTACAACGAGTTTAAATGAACATAGAAAAAGTGCGAATAAATCTATTCCAGGTGAAAAACTAATGAAAGTATGAATACTGAAAACAAGATATGCGTGCGTCTGTGTGTTTATTGTATGCAGTTTTATCTGACGGGGCAAATGAGGTTCGTTTAAATAAAAATTCTAGATAATACCCACTTAAATCCATTTGCTAAAAAATATTTAATTTGCATTTATTTAAAAGATTTATAAAATTTCTTTCAAAGGGAACAATTAATTTAAAATTACAAACTAATTTTGTTATTCTCAAATTGAAATTGCTTTCCTATGTTTAAGCACATATAATTCTTTATGCAAATAGTTTCACGGCCTTCCTTCACTCGGTCTCCAACGGTCTCCAACATCCAAGTAGAGTTTTAATGATAACAAGAATACTGAAAACAAGATATGCGTGTTTGTGTGTATATATGTAAGTGTATATTCCCAGTCGTAAGTTGCGGAACGTGTTTTAAAAAAACATAGTTCTAAGTCGTACCTTTTTTGCGCAAAACAGCACGCATGCAAATTTTCCAAGGCAAATGTGCGTGCTGGGTGCATTCTATTGCGGTGCCTTCTAGAAGTGTTTCAGAATAATGCATCCAGAAGCATGCCCAAACACCCGTTTCGGGAACGTATTCCGAAAGAAATAGTTCTGGGTCGTATCTTTTTTACGCAAAACAGCACGCATGCAAATTTTACTAGCAACTGTGCGTGCTGGGGGCAGTCTTTTGGGTGCCATCTGGGTGTATTTCAATATAGTGCGTCCAGGTGCATTTTAGTGGGAATGTAAAAAAACCAAACTCAAACCCGAAGGTTGCCGATGCCCATTTTTTTACAATCGTCTTTTTTCGGAACTGTTCTCTTGACAAACAAATAATAAAGACAAAAGGGAACATGCAAGGAAGCGAGCGGTTTTTCTTGTCTCTTGCATTTCTCGTCAGTTGCATTTTTAGTTCTGAAAAGTGAAGTTCGTGCCACGTGTTTTGAAAAAGTTTGTTGCTTTCTGCCACCAATTTTACATCAATATTTTCACAGGTATATAAAGTGTAGATAATTTAGTTCAATATGAACACAATAAAATAACACAGTACATGTACACTGAACATTAAAACTAAAAACATATTAAACAAATAAAATAATAACTATTTGTATGTAAATTGTACATACAAAATAAACATATTGTATATTTGTAATGTATATACACATATTTCAAAATATATAATATTCAATTTGCTTTATATTTTTCAGAATCGCAAAAAATGAATGGGCACACCAAGGACTGAACTGCGTAAATGACAAAAGTACATAAACAAGAAGGAAGCACCGTACAGAAGGGGAGTTACTCCGATTAAAAATTAGATGCGTTTTTGAATATTGAAATGAAAATAAATATGAAATTGAAATCCAGTTTTATGTATTCCTGGGGAAAACTTCCAGATATTTGGTTTTTGAATGCTTCTAGGTGCATTCCTGGGTACATGTTACAGGTGCATTAAAAAAGAGTACACCCAGAATGTGTTTAGTATGTTGCTCCCAGGTGCATTAAAAAAGAGTACACCTAGAATGTGTTTAGTTTGTTACTTCCAGGTGCATTCCAGATATATGCTTCCAGAAGCATGCAACGGGTGCATTCTTTTTTGTCCCGCACCCGTGTAAAAAGAATGGACAGACTCATCACTTCCGGAACACTTTTTTGATGCCATTTCATAATGAAAGAACGCATGCTGGAATGCTGTCATTTACGACTGGGTTTGTGTGTGTATACATATATGTATATATGTATTAATTTACAGGTTCCGGAGGAAATGAGATTCGCTTATATAAATTCTTTATAATACCCACTGATATCCTTTTGTACACAAATATTTCATTTGCAAATCTTAAACAGTTTTAGCACATTTCCTTCAAAGGGCATAACTAATTTCAAACTAGAAACTAATTTTCTTAATCTCGAATTAAAATTGTATTCCTGTTTAAACAAATACATACATACACATACTTAAACAAATAGATTCACGGCTTTCCCTTACACCTGTCCGCTACATTATTATTAATGAAATTAATATGATCAACACCCATCTACATGCAAAAAAATTGAATATCGGAAAATACAAGAGCTAGACTGTTGGGAATTGGCATGCAGATCCTTTCAGATCCTTCCTGCGCTAGTTTGTTTCAGCAGGGTGCCACGCCCACTCTAACGCCCACAAAACAACTGAAATCCGTCTAGCGCCCACATTTTTTAATATTTTGTAATATGTTTTTTTTTTTGCCTGTTTTCTCTCTTGTGTATAAATTAGTAACTATTTAAAATTAACAATTAAAATTAAACATTTTTCATTTCACATGTGTCTCCTCACTATCAATTTCCATGTTTGTATGTATTTCCTTTGAGTGCAGGCTCACACAAATTCAGTCGTGATTCAATTGATTTCCTAAAGTTAATATCTTTGCTTTGCTTGTTTCTTGTTTTTTTTGTATTTCTAAAATAAAGCTCAAGGTAGTAAAACCGGGCCTACACAAAACGGAACACACACACGCTCGTATCTTATATCGATCATCATCAGGTCGGAAGGATCAAGGATCCTCTGCTGGATAGCTGACCCATTGACTGGCTGGTTTGCGCGTGCAGCTGAAGCTCAAAGCTGAGAAGCCTTGTCTATAAGGCGCAACAAAGCAGGGGCTAGTTTTTCGTATCTCGCATCTCGTATAGTCGGGTCTATCTGGTTTACTACAAGTTGAACACATGCACGCCCGCCCACACTCCGCACAGTGCCGTACAGCCGCTGCTGTGCCACAGAACTGCTGCTGCAGTACTGCAGTGAGCCAAGCGCAAAACGGCCAATAGGGCGAGAATCGCAGTGGTACCTGTTAACTTTGTCTCGAATGCAAATGAAGCGTAGTCTCCCTGCCGGCTCTGCTTGGGTGAGTTGATCAGGCTGATCTTGGTGGGTGATCTGTGGCTGTGGATCTGATGTATCCTGTATGGTGTGTGGTAGTGGTGGTGGTGCTGGTGGGTGACTGTTGAGGCTTTCCTTGACTGCAGAATGCATCCAATTGGTGTTTTGGGTCGGTGTGATGTGTGATGCTGATTGTGTTGGATCTGGTCGGGAATGAGTTGTTGTTTTTTGTTGATGACGGGGAGTTTGGTTTCAGTTTCTAGGATTGTATGTGAATATATAGCGCGTTTAAATTCCAAGAATTCGCGATCCCTTCTGCTGCAAGACCTTGGCCCGGTCGTTAAGCTCTAGCTCTCGCCCGGCCGTCGTGCCGCACTCCTTGGAGACCACGCACAGGAACTCATTGTTTTCAAACGGCCCGTAGTTGGTGTACTGCATGCTGATCAGCTGCTCGAACCGCCAGCCATCCGACAAAGTTAAGATCATCTGCGTCAGTTCCTGTTCGCGGCACTGCAGAACATACATATATACGCGCTTCTTGTCTGCATGCTGAACCCTGTGCAGGATGCACTCCTTGAGCAGAGCTATCAGCTTTGTCACGTTGTAGAACTCAGCCTCCTCCAACACATTGGGGCTATTGCGCGAGTTGATAAACACGGTGCTCATGGTTCTGCTGCTTCTGCTTTTGCTTCCGCTGAGGTGCTCCGCTGTTAACCTGCTGCTGCTGCTTCTCCTGCGGATGCGATGCCGACCTGATTGAGTGGGGCCCTGGCTGCGTCAGTTCCGCTGGGGACCTCGACCTCGTCCTAGTCCTCTGCCTCGCTAATTGCCCGCTCTTATTGTCCACGCGATTCCGTTGCTTGCGATGGCGACTCAAGCCTCAGCTAATGCTTATCCCTTCGCTCGCGTCTTTGTTGCTTTGCGTTTCCCTGCGTTGCACCCTGTTGTCTGCGTCTCCGCCGACGCCTGCGTCTACGTCGCTGCTTCTCTGCTTCCTTTCCACTCTGGAGTCACTCCACTTGTGGCTCGCTGCTTTTCCTGCTCGTCGCCTTGCCATTTTAGTTAACTTAATTTATTTAATTAATTCATTAGTAAAAAAGACTGCTATCAATATCAGGGCAAACTCGACTCATTATTATAATGCAAGTTTTTTCTTATTATCAATACCTATCTACATGCCAAAAATTGTTGAAATCGGTTAAGTCATTAAAAAGATAAAACTAAATAATAATCAATAATTTGCTAT